AGCCTAGAACTTGCCAGATAGGCGAGGCGGGCACCAGTGATTCTCAGGGATTCACCTATCTCTGATTCCCCAGTGTCGAGATTGTAAACCATATGTCACCATGCCCAACTTTTTTTTTCTTTTTTTAGACATGGGCTCTGGACATCAAACTCAGGTCCTTGTGTTTGCAAGGCAAGCACTTTCACTGAGCCGGCTCCCACAGTCCCTTCCCCCAAAGTTTTGTGTCATTTTCTTTCCATAACTGCTCTGCACTAGGAAGAATACTTCCTCCTTCTAAGTGGGAAAACTAGTATTTAAAGAGAATTAAGGAGCCTTACGGGATCGTGATGGTGCCAGCCACGGAGAGAGCCTTAGGGTCAGGCTCTTGTGTTCATTAGTGGCCCCGTCCCTTTCCTCCGCTGATGCTGATGATAGCCCAGGGCAACAGGCGTCCTCACAGGCTCCATTTTACAGACAGGGAAGGCGAGGCTCAGAAGGAGCAGTCCTTTGGACGCAGGCCGGTGTGACTCCAGGGTCCATGCAGCGGGGCCTCTGTGATCTCTCATCTCCACCTGCAGCCCTCCTCTCTAGAGCCCCCTGAGAGGACAACTGCAGGCTCTCTCGGGACTGGGATAACAGAAGATGGGCACTCAGAGAGGCCTCCTGGTGCCCACAGATATAAACAAGGAGATGTGATTAGTTGCTCCAGGACATGATTCTGATGGGGCCAGAGACAACCCCCCCCCAACCCCACCCCTCACCCCCACATGCATCCCAGGCTAGGCAAGCTAATCAATTAATCTGGGGAAGGTCTCTTCTCCGTAATGGAAAATACCCGAAGCCTCACACAGAGCCACACTCAGCTGCCTCTCTGCACACATTGCCTGAGATTTAGTTGTGTTCAGAGCTGATAGATATGTGTTTATATATGCACATATAGCCCCGTATACATTCTCTTGTACAGAAATGTTAAATTCTCAAGATTAAGTGTCTTCGGTTGGGGAAAATCAATCCGCTTCTTCGAGGAGGCTGAAACGGAGAGTCGTGAGTCTGGAACTCCCTTTCTTGCCAATTCTCCCTGATATAAATAAAGCATCTTCATCCTGGCAGATCGCCCCGTGTTGGCTGCTCCAAACGATTCCATTAATTGATTTAGGTGACTGGCTCTGCAGTCACCCTTATTAAGGTTCCCACCAGAGCCAGGATAGCAGATGACTCCAGAGCCATCGGTATGTGGGACTCCACTCCCCAGGGACACTGTGACTGCAACTCAGGCCAGTAGTGGGAACGCGTGCCTCTGATGAAGAGGACTTTGCTTCTTTCTGTGGTGGACGTATCGGGGGGTGGGGGGTTCGGGGCTGTGCTCCAGCATGTCTGAACTGTTCAAGGATAAGAAATAATGGGGAGAGACTATGAGCAGATGTATTTGACAATGGGGCCCAGTTGGGGTCTGGGTCAAGAACAGTGTGGGACATCCAAGGCAAGCAGGCTGCAGACTCGTGTGAGTTTGGAGCGTTGGAACTGGAAGGTAGAGTTCTTGAGAGGCATGTCACAGCCGACTTCCGCTTTGTGTCATCTGCCATCCTAACTTGCCTGGTACCCTTCCTTGTCCCTTTACCCACCAGTGATCTCGATGTGTCTTCCTCAGAGCCTGTCTCCCTCTTTGTACTGAATTCCCTGCCTAAGACTATGATCTAGGAAAAGCATCTCTGCTGGCATCAGGCAGAGGCCTGTAAGTAGGAGGAACGGAGGGTAGAGGGTGCAAGATGGAGCTGAGACAGAAAGCTGTTGTGGTCACATCCTGAGGCACAGGGAGGAGGGCAGACGGGCAGAAAGGGTCCCTGATTATTTTTGCCAAGACCAAGAAGCTATAGGTGACTAGCTGCGTGGGAGGATAAGTGGACGTGGTGGGTGAGAGGGGACAAGGGTGGCTGACTGGCTAATGGACAGATGTGAAAGAAGGATAGATGCACATATGTAAACAGAGCATGAATAGAGAGTTATAGACTGGAAGAGGAGGGTAGTGTGGGACAGGAAGAATGAGAAGAGGAAAGAGGGCTGGGTAGATGTATGAGTGGGCTGCAGAGCGGTTAGACGATGGAAGGCTAGGTGGCTGGATTAGGGGGGTACATGCATGCCTGGGTGGGTGCATGGATGATGGTGAACTCACAGGTAGATGCATTAGGAGGTAAAAGAGAGTCGTGGTGCTTCATCCGACCCTGGCTCCCACCTCTGTAGAAAACAGAATTTGGGAAGCAGGAGGCAGGGATGTAACACAGCTGAGGAGCTGGAGTCTTTGGACGGAGAACGGAAGTTAGATCAGAACACCCAGAATGCCAGCAGATCTGGGGAGCAGTGTGTATGTCTGGGGAGCAGTGCGTGCATCTGGGGAGCAGCGCGTGTATCTGGGAAGCAGTGTGTCTGGGGAGCAGTGGGTCCGGCAAAGTGAAGGTGGCTGGACCTGGGTGATTTGGTCCCAGGAAGAGCTAGAGTTTATGACTATCTGCACACACAGCTAGATCAGGAGCAGTACAGCTCTCAGGAGCACGTCTGTGAGAATGTATTAGTTATCCACTGCTTAACCAATTACCCCAAACTTCATGTCTTAAAATAGCATCTGTTGTTCAGTCACTTGTGGTCAGGAATCCAGCGGGGCTTTGAGAGTCCTCTGGCTCGAGGCTCCTCAGTGGGCTGCGATCCAGCTGTCCGCCAAGGCTGCCGTCACTCTGAGGTGTGGCTTCTAGTTTATGGCGTATGCACATGCTCAGTTCCCCCGGGATTGTCGGACTGTGCAAGAAAAGTACTTTGCTAGGATTCGGCCAGATGCTGTCCTCTGCCCTTGCCATGGGGCTCTCTTCTTAAGCAGTTCATAGTGACAGTACCGCCACAGCCACCCGGGAGAAGAGCCGAGGAATGTACAGGGCGACGAAGGACAAAGTCGGGTCACTCAGAAGTACCATTCCAGGCCTTCCAGAGAATGACCCAAAGGCAAGCCAAGGGATCCAGTCCACACTTGGGAGGAGACAGAACTAGGGTGCCACTGAAAGGAAGTGGGGGTCACTAGAAACTGTGCAGTGCCCAGAGAAGAGGCGTGTAGAGCAGGAGGAGGGGCCAAGAGAAGCTGACAAAGGAGAATCTGCATATCAGAGATTATCTGGAAAATGAGAAACATCTGGAGCACCAGAAAAGCCGGCAATGAGAGTCATCGTCGAGGGAAGAGGTGGTAGCGCGTTAGCGGGGGGGGGGGGGGGGGGCACTTGGGGATGAGCTGAGGTGGAAAAACAGCTGGAAGGTGGCAGGCTGCAGAGTGGGAGCAAAAGGCGCAGGCTTTGGAGGTGGAGCCGGTGGAGCAGCCAAAGGTAGGGATGGCTGCAGGCTAGAGCCGTCTGGTGAAGCCGGGAGAGTCAGTGCCTCAGAACACTTTGGGCGCTGGCTTTGAGGCAAGTGAGATTGCAGGCAAGAGAGCAGCTGCTCTGTGCAGGGTCTCATGCCCTGTGGCACTCAGCTGCTTCCCCCTAAGATGGGAGTCCAAAGGCTCCTGCCTCTTGCTCCGATGCCCTCTCCTCTGCTGTCGCCTCCTCCCCTGGGGCGTGCTATGGACTTCAGCAGCCAGTTGCAGACGGCCCATCCCTTGCCAGCGCCCAGAAGTACCCAGAGAGAAGTACACCTTCCTTTAGGGCTCTCTGCTCCTTCGGCAGGCATGGCCTCATTCCCTGCCTTCCCCCCAACCTCGCCAAGCCTGTGCCAGCCTGTGGGAGTGCACCCATGTTATCATGTGCACTAGAGCTGGGCTGGGTGCCAATCAGACAGGCTGACATCACAGAAAGCCCATCCAGACTTGGAAACAGCCGATACAATGGGATTCTCTGAGCCACCTTTTCCCCTGGGACCAAGGCAAGGCTGGTCTGATGGGACCAGGCAGCTGGCATTCATTCAGTTCCCAGGAAGGTTCCTGAACATCTAGCATGCCCCGACAGCAGGAGGCACTCATACCCAGCCCTCTCTCCTCTCCTGGGTCCAAGGACCCCCCCCCCTGAATCTATCTGGGGCAAACACAACAGCCCACCCACCAGCCTGCCATCCTGCTCAGTGCCTCTGGTCTCAGGCATGGAGCAGACCACTGCTCCCAGGAGCCTCGCCTTCCTGCCTGAAGTTCCCTCCGTGCCTCTCTCAGTCCTGAGAAGAACAGACCAGAACCATGCCTAAGTCCTCCCCTGACACAGAATATGAAAAGGGGGCCAGCTTTACCTGAAGTGAAAGCGGGGAGTCAAAAGTTCATTGAGCTTTGATCTCGTGTGCGCCCCCTAGTGGTTCCTGGGGTACAGTGCCGCTGTATGGGTTGGCACAGAGGGTCTGGATTTGAAACCTGACTCTGCCATTTAGTCTCTGGATAGCCTTGGGTGGATTCCTTAACAGTGTCTCAGCTTCCCCATCTGCAAAATGGGGCTAATAACACTTACTTCCTGTGATTTCGGTGAGGGATCCATGAGTGAATACAGATAAAATCCTTAGAACAAGACCTCTACTCGTTAGTTACCTAACAAATGCTGGAGAAAACTCATATACATAAAACCTTATTTAACCCCCGGTGCCACATAAACCAGATGTGATGACACATGCCTGTAATCCTAGCACTTGGAAGGCAAAGGCAGGAGGATCAGAAGTTTGAAGTCCTCCCCAGCTACCTGTGGAGTTTGAGGCCAGCCTGAGCTAGCCTCAAACCTGTCTCAAATGTAATTAATTAATTCCAAAGACTGGCAAAAAAAAATGCAGGGTTACCAGGAAGCGGGCCAGAGTCCGAATGCCAGCTTCAGTAGCCCCCAGCTGTGCACTTCAGCACCTCACCTCCCAGGGCCTCAGTTTCTATACCCGGGCAATGGGTGGTGCTCCCGCACCCTGAAGAGTATACCCAGAACTAGATAACTGGAGCCATGCCGAGTGACCAAAGGGGGTGGAGCATGCGAGGAGCGGGGAGGGACTCCGTAACTTAGCCTTAAACAGTCCCATCCCTTGCCACCCAGAAATCCAAGATCTCTACGTTTGAGAAGATGTGGGCCTTCATGAGCAGCAAGCCCTCCGCGCTGGTGAAGAACAATGAGGAGGGGATCCAGCGGACACTCACAGCAGACTACGCGCTGCTCATGGAGTCCACTACCATAGAGTACATCACACAGAGGAACTGCAACCTCACCCAGATTGGTGGCCTCATTGACTCCAAGGGCTATGGCATCGGCACCCCCATGGGTGAGCGGGGCCCAGGGAGAGGGGTGTGCTGCAGATGGAGGTTCTCGAACCCTCCTCTCTCTCACACACACACAGTCCTCAGGATCAGTCCACTGGATCCAGGAGGGTTGCGATCCCTCAGCCAGGAGCAGAGGGATGGAGCCACACCCCTGACTTGAGCAGCCCTAGCCTGGAGCAGTGAGAGCTGGGACCACCATTCCCCTTGCCCTGTTCTTTCTGCTACACCAACTTACTGGGGGCCTTCCAGGGTCACAGGACCCAGATCCAGTGAGCGAGGCCTTCCCACTTACCTTACCTGGACTTGGAAGCGGACTTCAATGAGAGGAGCCCTTGTTTTGGCTGGCAAAGGCACAGTCATGGTGGCTGGCTCTGGCAAGCAGCCCTCACTGACCAAGCCCCTGCCCCCTCCACAGGCTCCCCCTACCGGGACAAAATCACCATCGCCATTCTGCAGCTGCAGGAGGAGGACAAGCTGCACATCATGAAGGAGAAGTGGTGGCGAGGCAGCGGGTGCCCCGAGGAGGAGAACAAGGAGGCCAGCGCACTGGGCATCCAGAAGATTGGCGGCATCTTCATCGTCCTGGCCGCCGGCTTAGTCCTGTCCGTGTTGGTGGCCGTGGGCGAATTTATATACAAACTCCGCAAGACGGCGGAGCGGGAGCAGGTGAGGCCCTGGCGGAGGCTGCGCTGGACAGGGAAGGAAGGCAAGGGCAAGACTAAGCTGGTTTCACCCTCCCAAGGGCATGCGCTGTCTCATCTCACCTCCCTGCCCTCCTCTGTCCAGCTCGAGCATGCTTTCCCATCAACCCCTGCTCCACTCCATCCCCAGCCAGAATGCAGTCCGTCTCACCCAAAGGATGCCCCAGCCTCCACACCTGGCCTGGAAGCCTCCATGCCTCCCACCTACCTGGCCTCCCAGCTTCCACCACATTAGCCCGCCCCCCAGGCTAACTTTCCAGCTTCCAGTTCTTCCTGCCCACCACATTTCTCCACTGCCATCGGCAAGCTCCATAGCAGCCAGTGCCCCGTTTCAAACTTAATTCAAACCATGTCAGCTTCCTGAACCCCCAGGGTAATTGTTGAAGCTGGGTGACAGAGGCACAGGGTTCATTATATTGTACTCTCTATTTTCGCATATATTAGGAAATCTCCATAATGAAAAGTTTAAAAACGAAAAGTTCTGAGGGATGGCCCAAGTGCACGAACAGTGAAGCTAGTCTTCCCCTGCCTGATTAATTCAAGCGTGGTCGGGGCGGCAGCCCTGGGTCCCGTGGCAAATTAGAAGCATGGAGGGAGAGTTTTAAGTGTTAATACCCTGGCCTCACTCCCAGAGACTCTGTTTAATTGGCCCATGGTGGAGCCCAGCTCTAGAGTCTGCACAAGGCCCACGGGGTGATTTAAGTGTGCACCTGAGCCAAGAGCCTCTGGGTTAGGCAATCGCCTCTCCCGGCGGAAGTTCAAAAGCATCCAGGCCCAGTGTGGCTGACAGGAGCCTGCCGCTGGGTCACATGTGGAGGGCCCATTACAATCAGTGTCTGATAGATCCATCAAAATGAACTGGAGTTGTTTAACAATCAGCAACCCGAAAGCAACCGAGAGAAGGCAGAGACAGGCCTGGCTGTGTGAGTTAGCCAGGGCCTTTGAGAAGCGTGGAAAGGTACCATCCCAGGAGACCGCTCCACTGGAAATCCACCCGCGCAGTTGACTAGGTGGTGTCTGACTTGGTCAAGAATATGGATTGCTTGGCTCACGTGATGGTTGTCTAAGTGTGAGCCCACAACATAAAACATTGGGAAAATACCTAAAGGTTTAACAGGAGACGGTTAAACATTATACTTCGAGAAAGAACAGCTGCCAGGGTTTTTAGGAATCCCTGTTAAGAATGAACTGACTTCTAAATTTCACTAAAAACATAGAAGACCTGGCCTTGGCCCACCTCTTAGACCTGCTCCTCCCCATTCTCGCCCTTTGCTTTCCCTCAGATAGGACTCCTCTAGAGTCCACGGCACACCCAGCATGCCTCCGGGCCTTTGCACCTACCTGGAGGGCACTGCCTGAAGTATACCGTGTTCTTGACGTCATCTGGCCATATAGATTTTAACTCTTGTCACCTCCATAACTAGCCCTCCCTAGTTCCTGCTCTCCACGCTTCACTCTTCCGCATCTCGGCTTTAGCCTCTTCACAGCAGGCATGACTGGCTGGGGGATTTACTCATGCATGTGCTTGCTGCCCGGTCCCATCCCGTTGCTACCGGCGACTCCCTGGTCAAGTCCTCTCCTGCTTGCTTTACTTGCGCTCTGTGCTGACTTCCAGCATGCAGCCTTGTGTGTGGGGAACACTTACAGGATGCAGAAAGCCAGGCTGAAGAGAACGATGTTCTGCACAGAGCAGAAAGGTGGGGGACCTCGCCCATACCACAGCCTGCACGCACCCTCCTGGCGCTGGTGCTCTAGCGATAGCCTTGCTGTCTGAGTTGGGCCATCAGCCTGCCCTACTGTGCACCATCTAAGTCCGGGGCCACTGCTCCTAGATACCTGTGGGAATGCCCCTCCCACTGACCCTCTGCCTAGCTGCAGGAACCATGCTCAGAAGGTCCTTAAAAGGACCTCTTCACCGGGTGCCCACCTTAGACACAGGCTGGACTCCTGAGCAGGAGGCAGAAGTTGGAGGACCCGTCAGAATGGGTTTCCCATATGTGTCTTGGGCTTCTGCACCCCTAACTCCAGGCCAGGCCTGCTATTGGATTCATAGGAACAAAAAGTTAGAGTCTAAGGGATCCCCCAGAAATTTCATCAAAACCCCTTAAGCATGGCATTTGGGGAGCTGTGGGCTCCTCTGTAAAACAGAGAGGTGATACTATCTGCTCCTCCCCTTTGTCTCCTGAGAACTTCCCAGGCCTCTTTCCAGGGCTTGAGAGGTTGGTGGCCACAGTGCAGGGTCAGGAAAGGGAGAGGGTCTGTCTCACTGTGCCCCTTGTCTCTCCCCAGCGCTCCTTCTGCGGCACAGTAGCCGATGAGATCCGCTTCTCCCTCACCTGCCAGCGCCGCCTCAAGCACAAGCCGCAGCCTCCAATGATGGTCAAGACTGACGCGGTCATCAACATGCACACGTTTAACGACCGCAGGCTTCCGGGCAAGGACAGCATGAGCTGTAGCACCTCGCTAGCCCCTGTCTTCCCGTAGATGTGGGTACAGCGAGGACTTCAGGCCTGGTCCACGCAGGGGAAAGCAAAGGAGACCGGAAGGGACATCCTCATCTCGTGCTGGCCTCGGGGATGGAGCTGCTACTCACATCCAGCTGTGGACCATCAGCTCTTACCTACCAGGAAACCAGTGGGCCCTCGGCCAGCTGCTTGGGCTTCATCTCCTCTTGTCTTTTCTATGGCTTTCTAAAGCTGTGAAGGCCAGCGGAAGCACACGCCTCTCAGGCTCCACCCACCACCCCTCTCTTCTCCACAGCCAGGAGTTTCTACCATGGCTGTGTGGAGGCCTCTGAAGATGGCTCTTACCCTCTCTTCCTTTCCCTCAAGCCCGGGGCCTTCTAGCATGCAGCCATGAGAGCGGAGACTCCAACTTTGAACACCCGAAGGATGTTCTAATGAGGCTGCTGGTGGGAGCCCAAAGGCAGCCAGCCACCCACACGTGGACAGAAACAAGTCTTCAGCCCTTAAAGACTGTTCGCCTGGGTCTGGTCTTCTCAACTTGACTTCACCCACAGAAGCCCCTTGACAACACAGAACGCGGTGTGGAAAGGAGGAGTCTGGTACGGGAGAAGAATGCACAGGCAGAGGCTGCGGTCACAGGTGTTTGAGGTCAGTGTCCCAAGGCACACTTCTGGGAACGTGAAAGAGGTAACAACCATGGCAAATTTCTTCTCCACTTCTGAAACAGAGAAGAGAAGACACCCTCCCTCGTAAGGAGTGTCCAAAGACTCAGTTGTCATTGGAAGGCCAGCAGAAGAAATACGGATGCTAAGAAAAGCCCACAGGCCCTTGATCTAGCAGACCAGCTTTGCTGGTAAGCAAGCCAGCATTCAGGACCCTGGGTTTCCCACCATCTACTCATTAGTGAGTTCCTGTCCCCGCCCATTTGCTTTTGGCTTCCCTCTGTTATCCTGAAAAGAGAAGAAGAGCCCCCAACTAAAGTACAAGTCAAAAGAGGGGTTGGTGTTCCCCTCCGCAGACAAATTTTGGGGTAGACGGGAGAAGCCAGAGTGGACCGAAGAACTTTCTGGGCATGCCCAATCTAAAGAGCCCTCTAGAGAAAGAAAGCTTTCAGCGGTGGGATGAGACCTCCAGAGGCCTCCAGGGTGGGGCAGGAGAAGCTGCCTCCTGGAAAATTAACCAAAGACCCAACACAGAGATACAAGGCCATGCCGGTCTTGGTCTCTTATCTGGAGCAGCTATGGTCTTGGAGGTCTGGGGGAGAAAAAAAGAAGCAGAAGAGAAGCCAGGGAGGGGACAACCAATGGGGTGGGAAGGTGACCTGTGGTTCCCACTCTGGAGGTTTGAAACTATAAAATCTTAGGAAAGATCCAGATGTGAGGGGTTAGGCAAAAAGTGTCCTTACAGAGAGCATGACAGGGCCATCAGGGCCCCCACTGCTGCTAAAGATGGAAGTTGGTCTCCAATGAGAGACCAGGGTTGGCAACATGGGTTGAGAGCTGGGGGACTCTAGTCCCACTCTCCCTCGCTTTCCTGGTGCTGCCAGGCTTGGATGAGCTACATCTAGAGATCAAGAGCCTTCTCGGCAGAAGTAAAGTAACCCCTTCAGCCAAGCAGGGTCCCCCTACTGGCATATATGATTAACCCCCTCATGCTGGTTCTCGGGAGCTCTGACTGTCTGTCTTCACTGGAGGGATGAGAAGGGAGACTTGCAGCCAAGCCCAATGCATGGAACAATAGGAAAAGCCATGCTGGCAGGAGGGAAGAGTGTGTACATGTCTGTGTGTTTGACTTTGTGTGTGTGAGTCTTGGGGGCTGGTGGTAAAGGACAGACATGGGTATATAAGTAGTCCGTAGCAGGCAATAATAGGGGCCTCCTTTGGGACCTGGTTGTATATGGTGTGTGTGTGTGTGTGTGTGTGTGTGTGTGTGTGTGTGTGTGAAATGGAGAGGAAGGAGCCCAATCAGGACCAGCAACAGAGCCTCATCTATGTAAAAACAGGAGAAGCCATGTTGAGATGGGGTTCTGATGAGTATATGGATGGACGTGAGTGTGCATGAATTTGTGTGTCTGTATGTGTGCACGCGTGCACATGCACATGTGTGCGCATCTGTATACTGAATGACAGGTTGGGGAGCAGGATACAACCTGCAGTATAGCCAAATATATGTAAAAGGAGAAGCCATGTCATCAGAGGTCCTTGTATGAGTGTGTGCACACACACACTTGTGTGCCCTGAAGACAGCAGGGGAGGGCAGAACAGACTGCTGTGTGTGCCCCATGGGTGGATGTGTGCTGTGCTGTGCTGTGCAGGAGAAGTCATGTGAAAATGAAGTGTGAATGTGTATGTGTGTGTGCATGTGTGTACTCATACCCATGCATGTGCAGACGTGTACCCAAATTCCAGTTCACATCATGAGTTGAGGCAGCAGAGCAATCAGTCAGGACACCAGGGTTTGTTTGCATGCCTGTCGTAGGAGGGATCATTTGCCACAGCTTTCCTGAGGCTCCGTGGGGAAGTACGCAGGGACTTCGGGGCTCACAACTGGTGACTCCTCTTTTGCTCTTCATGGTATCCTGTTGGGAGGAGAAACATCCCCTTTCTTTTTCTTTTCTTTCTTTTTTTTAACCAACCCTGCCGACAGGATTCTAATGAAAGCATTCCTATCCACTGTATTCATTAACCACTGTCTTATGTTGTCCAATACAGTTGTATAACACACACCCATATCCGTGTTCATATCACACATGTGCTTTTGTGCATGACACGGCAGATGTGTCATGTTCTTCTGAGGCTATGCACATATGTAGACTGTGATGGGAGAAGGAACGGGACGTAGTTGGCAGGAAGGATGTTCAGAGAGGGAATGAGGAGAGATGGGTGAAGGCATTGGGTTGGTTTATAGACTCATGGGGAAAGGGGTGGCATGCTGCAGGATCTCCCCTTCTGCTTGAGCCTTACATCCAGAGGTATGGCATTAATGTCTGCCCTCTGGCTGAAATTCTATGCTTGTCCTAGAGACCATCCCAGTGCCAGCCCACCCTGGAGACCACCCTGCCCAGCTGAGCTGGGTCTCTTTCAGGGTAGGGCAGGAAGTCAAGAGGGAGGCAGATCATTCAAGTGGAAATCTGTCCCAACCCCCTAAGGGGTGCACAGAACAGGGGCTGGAGCACACAGAGGCCCTGAGGAATAGTGAGAAACACCAGAGCAGGTTTGGATGGAGCAGATGGGGTATACCTAAGCAGGTGTCGGCTGGCTGTCTCTGTCTGGTCCTGTAGACCAACCCTGACCAGAAGAGCACCTCATGCCACTATGTCTGAGCCTGAGCTCCACCTCCATATACTAGTCCATCAAAGGGAACAGCATCTACCCTTTCCAGGCCCTGGGGGCTATTATACAAGGAGCCTCCTTCTGCCGCCACCATGACCTACATCCCATTTCTCTGCTATGGACAGATGATGAAACCTGAGCACTCTGGGTGGCTCCCATCTGCAGGTGTCTTACAAGAGGGGAAGATGGGGTATTGGCCAGTGAGCTCCACTTAGAATCCCTGAGGTAGGAGGAGATTGCCCCTCTTCAGCCTGGACTGTGTCTCCTGGGACCTGCCCTTGTGGCATGCAGTGGGGGAGGGGTGAGAAGATTAAATATATCCGTGGGAGAGCAGAAGTCTGACTGGGCCCATAGTCCCCAAGAACCTTCTGCCTCTCCTAACTTTCTTTCTAGTCCAGGGAGGGCTGAAGGTGGGGGGCAGCTGCTGCTGCTTCGTGCTGCATGAGGTCATTACACACACACACACACACACACACACACACTCCAGAGACATTCTCTGCTGTAGGCACCAGCATCTGAACACGACAACTCCATGGTCCACCTCTGGAACTGCCCTGCATGGATGCCCATCTGGAAAGGCCCCGATGTCATGGACAAACAACTGTATGGAGTAAACATCTGGAACCCACCCAGCCCAATGGACAGATGTGAGAATTGGGCCCAGCCCCGTGGGCAGGTCTTTGAGTAAGATACATCTGGACATCCCAGGTTGTTGGAGCAAGGTGCACAGCTGGAATAGGCCGAGCCACTTGCTGCAGTGGGAGGGGCCTTGCCCTCTTTCTCCATGTTCTGGAGTTGAAATTTTAGAGTTGAGGTTTATGTGAAGTCACAGAAATGTTTTAGGTAGAAGGCTAATGTTCTGTACAATATATATATGAATGTAAAATATATATATAATGCTTATATATATATGCACAGTGTATATATGACCCTCAACCCCTGTGTATACAACCCTTCCCTGCACGTCTGCACACAGTGTACAGAACCCAGCCAGTATGGGTGGGGACCCAGTGAGAGATGGGGGCTGCAGCAGAAAAGTCGCGTTTACTTACACAGCCCTCTGGAACAAGCCAGGCCTTGCCAGCGTCTGCATCAGTGCTGTGGACCATGCAGAGAGGCCAGAATAGTGTGGAGCTGGCAGGTGAACCGGGGAAGGGGCAGCCACGGGTGCGAGTCTCCAAAGGCAGAGCAGTGGGCATGTCTGGAGAACAAGGCCTTTTTGGTCCTTGATCCCTGAGCCAACAGCACAGTCTAGTCCCGGTATCTAGTGCTAGGGAGAAGAATGAGGAAAGCAGAGTCAGTTTCCCGGGCCTACTCTTACGCCTGCCTGCAGGATGGCCTGGAAGGTGTCAGGCTGCATCTGAAACATGCTGGATGGCATGGGCCTCATGTGTGCAAGTTACCCACAGCTCCTAGCTATGGCGAGTCTTTTAAAGAGAAAGGCCTGAGGGCACCGTTGACATGCCCATTCAGCACCCTGGTAACCTAGTTATGAATCTAGCTCTTATTCTCCTGCCTTCTAGAAGAGCAGCCCTCTAATCACGCCGTAGTTGTCTGTTTTGCTTTTCTAGACCGAAACTCTGAGGCCTCCCTGTAAAAAGAAGAGGTATAGATTCAGTCAGATGCCAGCCAAGAGTCTGCCCCAGTTCATTCTGACATGGTACAAGATGGGAGGGACTTATCAAGGAACCAGAGAGATGAAAGATTCAAGAAGGCGGCACCTGGCCTTGCACAGCCCCTTACTGTCTGCCAGTCCTTCTTTCTGTTGCTTCTTCCAAACGGCAGCTGGCAAAGAGCCCCTGACAGGTAGGCCACAGACCTCTGTCCCTGCCATGCCTGGATCTGTCTGTTGCCAGTAATTTGAGGCCTTCGGCCCCTTCCTGGGTCCAAGCATCGCTAGAATGTGCTGGGGAGAAGAGACCTGAGTTTTGCTTCTGTGTGGTCTGCAGCCTGCCCTCCGCTTCAGCCCCAGCCCTCAGGCCATCTGCACTTAAAGGCCAGGCATGCTCCTGCAGCCATGGCCAAGCGCATCTAAATCCAGCCGCTGAGGAGGGTCCTGACCTGGCTCCCTAGAGACCAGAGGCTCCAGGAGCCCTCACGCCACTGTGCTCTGAAACCCCAGCCCATTCCTGCCTGGGCTGACTTCCTGGCTGGGCCTCCGTGGTGGGGACCTCAGCTCCCAACTCCTGGGCTGAGTCCCCAGACAGCACCATGGGACTCCAAGAGTCCTGGCCTGTCCCACTTCCCAGACCAGAGTGCCTGGACACCCCCCCCCCCACTCCCACTCAACAAGGTTCCCACACACTGGTCTCTGGGCCATTCAGGGGGTGCCCTTTGTGGACATGCAGAATTTCTATGAATATAGTTTTTTGTAAACATTTTGTAACAATTTGGGTTTCATAGTAACTGTGTTACTTGCCAATCATTCTAAGCTGATGTAAATAAATTTCCAAACAAATCTGATTATTTTCCTTTTTAAGACACTGTGATATATCAGAAGTGCACAGTTTGCTGTATGAAGTAATATGGTTTTAAATTTTAAATAAATGTTTTTAGAAAACGGGTTCCTCCTGGGGTATGTTTTCTGTTCTTCATCTCCCTTCAGAACCAGAGGTCACAGGCAGTTCATGCTGATTTTCTGCCTCCCAGGAAGGACAGTTTCCAGGGAAGGAGACCCTGCGCTGAGCAGGTAGCTGCTTCTAGCCCAGGCTCCTGGTCCCATTTCAGACATCAAGGCCACAATGTCACCTGGCTAATCTCAGTCTTCCCCTTCTTGGTCATGTGCCACCACAATACACCAGCCACAGGTACTGAAGGAGCGGCTGTGTCCCTGGGTGACCCTGTCCCTTTGGTCATAGTTGATGAGGTCAGATGAATGTATCAGCAGATGTTGGCTAGTCAGATCTCTCCTGAGCTGTTCTCAGCCGGGAGGGAGAAGGCCCTGTGGGTTACTCTCTGGGGATGGAAATTTCATGTCAGTGTTCAGAGTGATTGTTTTAAGCCGGAAGAGTTGGATGTCAGAGGGAGAGATAGAAAGACCAAAGGCTGGTGCGAGGTGGGGAGCAAGAATGGTTCCCAAGACACTACAGAGCTGGCCGAGATGGACAGCCATCTTCTTCTCAGCCTGGCACAAGAGCTTGGAGGGAGAGACACAGGAATTGCAAACCAGACTTGTAGAAGTCTCACCTGAAAAGCTGCTACCATCAGAACCCCTGTTAAAATTGCATCTCACTGGCCAGGAAGCTGGAGTTGGGTAGTGGACGGATGCTGCTAACATTCTCAAGTTATCAAGACAGAATATTCCAGATGCCGCTCAGACTCACATAGACAGATTCATTTAAAGGCTGACTTCCCTCAAAAGCCTTCACGTTGCTCTATGACACAATCAGAAAGCAGTCAATATGTGTTCAGGGTTTCTCACTGGGCAGGCCTACCCTAAACTCTCCCAGTGTGGGGGCCTATGTTAAACTCTCAAGCCTATGTAATTGTAATTCCCAGGAGAGTGGCTATGATTGAAACAGTTTGGCTCAGGTGGCCACTTGTGATCCAATCAGCTGTGACCTGAGGAAAGAGAGAGGTCACTAAGTATAGTCATGAGACATAGGCTCATAATGTTAGAGGGATTGAAAGATCTGGAAAATTCCAGAGACTATGTGTGAAGTCTAACGTGTAAAGGGGGGGGGGGGGAGGGATGCGAGTCAAATAATCCCAAGCTAACTCCAAAAGATTCCAAGATTATTCTTTATTATCAGGGAAAAACTCACGGTACCAGAACAGGGGGGAGGGGGTGTCCAACCCTAAGGTGTGGAGCATGGGCACCAGAGCACAAGAGCTGGGTGGGCTGGTGGTTTTCTCTGGATACCCAAAAGTCACGCCCCAACCTTGTCCAGCCTCTTAAAGGTCATTGGCTAGAGGAGGTTCCCCATCACCTCCCCCTTTTGTCTAAATAAAAGAGTTCCAAACCCAATACAGACTATATATACTAGAAACAAATATCAAGTATAAAATTAGAATTACAACCAGCATAAACAATATTAAGCAAGGAACATATGTTAAATGTTTTAATAAGCATTCTATCCTAAGGAGTCTAAGCCTTGCATTGGAAATGGTTGGCTAGATCATAAGAGGAGGTAACTACAACTATATAATCTTAAATCCTACTGAAGGCCTGAGAAGGGAGATAATATTACTTGAGTAACCAGGAAGTGCAATCAAGCAACTTCCAAAGTGTGCAGTATATTCCAGAGACAACTGGCAACCTGGGCAATCACCCAAAGTCTCATTTGCACTGTTGAACAACCAACTTTGGCTAAGGCCTAGAGTAACTGACAGACCATTTTCGGACACAGGAAAATTTTCAGAACCATCTTACCCTGTCTTGGCAAGGTTTGGCAGTTCTTTTCCTTGTGTCCTGCTTATCCAGTCCAGACACCAAGCACTTTGTCAGTGGTCAAGGCATGGGCAGTTCCTTGCCCAAAGGCCAGTTGTGCCAAGAAGAAAACAAATTCCAAGTGGAGTGTCTTCGGTGCTCAACATTCTCTCATGAATAAATTGGTGCTGCCAGGAGCAATTGTGTCTCATGTCAACAGAATCCTAAGTTATTTAAATACCATGTTCTACAGATCTTTGAAGTGGTTGAAGATTACCTATCTATGCAGAATACAATCTCTATGTATTTAAAGAACCTAATTAGTCTGACTATAAGTATAACAAACATGAGTGACTATTGACCTATAATACTTAATACCTGTATAACTTTAAGACTTCATATCAGAATATTAAACAATCTTTAAGCAACTGTGCAGTAAATGAGGACAATGATCTCAAAATGTAAACAATGTATAAGTATCTTGATCAGAGGTAGAAATATATAATATGATAAATATATCCTAAAAATTACATCCGTACACAAAATGTTTTAAACAGAGATAGAAACATACATGCATACAATCTGACAAAATAACTTTGCATAGGTGTACAAATATTGCAAACAGAAATAGGAGCATATTCAATATAACATATAATTTGAACTTGTATTAATATACAAGAATCTATATCAATGTAAATTGTCCATAAATAATAGCTCACAAGTATTTACTTTATTACTCACTATTATTATTATTATTATTAGTGTACATTCACACTAATCTACCTATTATCCCATACAATTTTCCCTCTTTTTTTTCAAGGAGATCTCTGGGTCTACATAATTTCCACCCCAACCCACAACCCCTAACAATTAATAATCAATTCATAAATGGTGTCCCTAACCCTGAGGACAAACTTTGTTGGGAGAGGAAACATCGTCTCCTAGAATTGCTTCCAGCTGTCATGGGGGCAATGTTCTTTCTATGGGATCCTATGAAAGTAAAACAATGATTAGGTTTCAAGATTACTGTCTTGTATAATTGCAAATGATCTCTGAGTAGCCGATAGGGTTTTTCTAAAGTTCCTTTTTGGAGTTCTGGCCAGAACGTTGTAAGAGGTGCACCATTTCAGCAGCTGGACGCCAGATAAAGCTGAACACGTAAAAGGGGAGGAAAACACAAGTCAAATAATCCCAAGGTAACTCAAAAAGATTCCAAGATTATTCTTTATTATAAAGGAAAAACTCATGGAACTAGAACAAGGGGTGGGAGTTTCCAACCTCAAGGTGTGGAGGACAGGAACCATAGCAGGAGAGCTGGGCGGGCCAGTTTTCTCTGGGTACCCAAAAGTCATGCCCCAACCTGGTCTAGCCTCTTAAAGGTCATTGGCTGAAGGAGGTTCCCCATCATAATTGAGGTGGCAGCATCCTGAAAAATTTGCCCTCCTGTCTCATCACCAGACAAGGGTCAGGCAAGACCCCAACAATCTCAGTAAAAGAAGCACCCATTACTCTGTGGATTGAAAGATGTCTGCCCATCGTCGGGAGAAGTCCTGGGGATGAACACGCAAGGCCTCGGGGAGGACTCCAGGTCCAGCAGAGAGTGAGGAGGAAGGAGGCTATGGCAGGGATGAGGGAGAGCAGTGACCACTTGTCCATCCATTCCTCCATTGAAGACTTTAGCATCCCATGCAAGAGTTGTGGTTGAAGGTGTAACCTTGAGCAAACAGCTGAGTCCCTCAGCTTCAGTTTCCTCTTCTGTGAAACACATGACGGTAAGGACTGTCCACTCAGAGTGATGGTGTAAACCGCCCAGCTCGTCAGAGGTCAACAGTATGCGAACCTTCTTTTCCACCATCTCCTGAGGCAGACAGGACAGACGACATGGACTCGGAGTAGGATATGAGCTTCAAACCCTCCTACCCTTGCCTTGATTTTCTCAGGTTACTCTCTGCACGACTCATGGGTTTGAGGTGGTTCTCCTGTGTGACGATGGAATGCCTGCTTCTCTGCCTTGGGGAGTTCACCCTGTCAGAAAAGATCCGAAAGCTATGTTCAGAGTGAGGTGTGAGAGGGTTCTCAAGGGGCCTCTCTGCCCCTCAGCCAGGCTCCTGTTCCTTGCTTCTGTCCCCGGGGAATGCCCAGCTAAGCTAAGAAGAGGTCAAGGCCGGGTCGCAGGGACTGCAGGCTGGACTGGATCCTGCCCACAGGGCCTTAATGATACTTCCTCAGAAAACAGAAGCTAAGCATTTAAGAAGCATCTGTCATTATGGAAACAAAGTTGCCAGGCCATTTTTTTCTTTTCCTATTTTTACTGCGGGTTCATTATCTTATGCAAATGAGGCCGCTGATGAGGCCTTTCTGCTGGGTGGCCCATGCTGGGACCAGCTCCACCGAGGGGATTTATTGCCTGCCTGCCTCAACTCCAGACAGGATTCAGGATGTGGAGACCCACAGAGATGGCTTCCAGAGCAGCATCCCCAACTTGAAACAAGGCTTCCTCTGGCCGCCAGTAAGGCCCTGGACGGTTTCTGGTATGCGGAGGTCCTTAACCTACAAAGGCCCAACTGTCAGTCCCACGGGATTCTGGCCTCTCTCTCAGATTCACCATTATCTAGAGCCCAGCAGACGGAGTGGCCATCCCCAGGACAATGAAAAAGAAACAAAATGCTATGAGAAGGGGCGGTGTGATCTTGTTTCTGGGGCAAGGCCTCGGGCAGCCAGCAGAGACCATGAGACATAAGAATTCTCAACTAAAGGGCAAGAGAGCTGAGATGTGCAACCACCAGGGGCTGCAGGAACTGTAAGTGCAGGAAATGCATGCTAACACTGTCTGTTCTGGGACTGTTTTATTGATGAAGAAACCGAGACTCAGAGAGACCAATGACTGGCTTTAGTCTGGGGAAGTAGACTCGGCGGCCAGCTCAGGACTCTCTGCCTCTTGGCGGCATCAAGCAGCTAACAGCACCTTCCTTTTGGCCTCCCTGCAGCACACAGCTCAAGCATCATGTCCCTTGCCTAGCCCTCCCCCAACTCCTGCAGCTCTGGGCTTACTGACATGGCCGTCTCCAGGCTGTCTCCCTGGGCCATCTTCTCAGTGATAAACATGTTGACAAAGCACACATTCTCCGCAGGGAACCCAGCAGCTTCCGTGTGCAGAGAAAGTTTTCTTCAAGGGGCTGGAGTCTCTATATAGT